GACAGCGGCTCGCAGGTGGCACAGAGAGAGCCGTGGGCCCTGCCGGGGGACAGGTGAGACCAGGTGAGCACAGGTGAGGACAGGGAACCCCCAGGTGAGCCCAGGTGAGCCCCAGGTGAGCACAGGTGAGCACAGGTGAGCACAGGTGAGCCCAGGTGAGCCCAGGTGAGCACAGGTGAGCACAGGTGAGCACAGGTGAGGACAGGTGAGCACAGGTGGGACCAGGGAACCCCCAGGTGAGTCCCAGGTGAGCCCCAGGTGAGTTCAGGTGACCCACACCTGACCCCAGGTGACCCCCAGGTGACCCCAGGTGACTCCAGCTGACTCCAGGTGACCCCAGGTGACTCCAGATGACCCCAGATGACCCCAGGTGACCCCAGATGACCCCAGGTGACTCCAGGTAACCCCTCCCCCCCCTCACCTGTAGAAGGCCACCTGCACTGACCCCAGGTGACCCCAGGTAACCCTGGGTGACCCCAGGTGACCCCAGATGACCCCAGGTGACCCCAGGTGACTCCAGGTGACTCCAGATGACCCCAGATGACCCCAGGTGACCCCAGGTGACCCCAGATGACCCCAGGTGACCCCAGATGACCCCAGGTGACTCCAGGTAACCCCTCCCCCCCCTCACCTGTAGAAGGCCACCTGCAGCGCCACCTGCACCAGGCTCTCCGCCCTCGGCCCCGCCCCCTCTCCGAGCCCGGGGTGCTCCAGGCAGTGAAGCTCCACATCCGCCGCCAGGCTGGGGTGGGGGAGGGGCGTCAGGGGGCGTGGCCAACCCCCGGACCCTCCCCCAACCCCCCCCAAAGCCCCGCCCACCTCACCTGTCCAGGTGTCTCTTGGCCCTCTCCACTTCCGGCGCCATTTCCGGGCCGACGCTGAAGCGCAGCCGTTGGGGGCGGGGCGGGGGCGTGGCCAAGCGCGGGGGGGCGTGGCCGAGCTGCCGGCTGTCGGTGATGGGCACACCTGAGCTCACCTGAGCGGCCACGCCCACTCCCGGGGGGGGGGGGGGGGAAGCCACGCCCACCTCACCTGTGCTGGAGGGCGTGGTCCAGGAGCTCGGCCACGGCGGCGCCGTCGATGACGGCCGGGTCGAAGAGGGAGCCGCAGGTGCCGTCCTGGCCAATCACCAGCTGGGACACGCCCACCGGGACAGGTGAGCTCACCTGGGGCCACGCCCCAGAGATCCCAAAAAAATTCCCACCAGAATTCCCAAAAAATCACCAAAAATTCCCAGGGAAAAGGGAAATTTTGGCGCCAAAAATCCCACCCCGGGTGAGAGACACGCCCTGGACACACCTCAGCTTGGCCACGCCCACATGGGACAGGTGAGATCACCTGGGGCCACGCCCATCACACCCCAAAAATTCCCACCAAAATTCCCAAAAAATCCCGAAAAATTCCAAAAAATTCCTGGGGAAAAAGGGAAATTTTGGCGCCAAAAATCCCTTCCCAGGTGAGACCCCTGAGCTTGGCCACGCCCACCTGGGGCAGGTGAGCTCACCTGGGGCCACGCCCATCCAAAAATTCCCCCAAAATTCCAAAATAATCCCAAAAAATTCTCACACTGAACTCCCCCTCCCCTCAGCTATGACCCCGCCCCCTCCTCCCCAAGCCCC